TATATATATATATATATATATATATATATATATATATATATATATATAAAGCGATACTTTTTTATGAAATATCTAATGTAATATATCAAGAGTATAATTACACTAAGTAAATATTACACTAGATATTTCTGAAACGTTTCAGCAATATTATTTTATAAGATTAAAATATTACATTGTATATTCTTGCAAGATTACGGCAATATTCCTATGTCCGCTTTTAAATAATATTTCTGCAATGTTCTTGAAATATTTCAAGAAATGTTGCAAATATATTTTTGAAATCTTAATGCAATATTCTAAGAATGTTGCAGAAGAGTTACTTGTGTTTAAATCATATTCAACATATTCAACATATTTTACTAATTGAGTAGTAAAGTAATGTATACTTTTCCATTCGTAATTTTCCATTTCCAATTTCATACAGAATGTATCAAAACGTACAAAGATATACTTAAAATAACGGTAAAGATAAGCACATTTGTAATTAATATTATACATATGTATAATTATTATATATATATTTATTTATATAAAATACTATCATACCTCAAATATATGTTTTTATTATATTTCTTGAATATTAGAAATATGTGACGTCAGAATAACATTGTAACAATATTCTGCAACATTTCTTATAGAATATTATAATTATAATATTCCTGCAAGATTTGTATATATTGCAGTACTATAACATTCCTGCAATCTTTTAGGAATATTTTGTGCTGTAACTACAATATAGAGAATACCAGCTAATTTTACCGAGTTCTAATTCTATATATAATTAATGCAAAGTTCTTTTGCAACATTACTTACCGCCTCTACTCGAATGTTCTTCATCACGATCTCCTCTTGATTTCTTTCTAATTCTTTTCGTAATAAGTCGACTTGAGCAGCGGCATCGGTCAATTTGTTTAAACCGTTGCTCATATTAGTTGAGAGTGTATTAATGTTATCCAAATGCTGCTTATAGAGTATTTTATAGCTGTCGATAAACGTTAGAAACGATCTTGGAGTGACGTACACTTGACGCCGGAACCTGCGTGTTCATTATTAAAGCCAAATTAATTGGACGATTTCCGTGAGAGCAACATGACGCTGGTGAGAGAGCGATCGAGCGAACCTATCGAAATATTCCGTACAAGTGTCATTCACGTCATCTTGAATATCGCCCACAACTTGCATTAATTGCCGTTTTACTTCCAGGCTGCATATAACTTTGTATTTTCCTAAGAAATGTTCACCGACCGCGTACAATGCATCCCTGGGCCATCGTGAGAACCAATTTAGCGTACAACCAGATATAAGACCGGGAAATTTTAATGCCCGAGATCGAAACTTTTCACCAACCTACATGAACAATTTTGTTAAAATTTATCAAATCAGTAAGAGAGAATTTAAAGGGTAACCACAGATGCTTCTTTTAACCCTTTGAAGCACAGCGGTTTCACAATGGAATCACTTATTAGAACCAAATCATAGCTTTAGGCGTAGTTATCGCAATGAAAGCACCGCTTAGTCTGTATATAGTAATGGAAATATTTTGTTGCACGCGTGGTTGTACCCTTATTTTATAAAAATAAAAAAATAGAAAAAATTAATTTCAAAAGAAGTGATCTCTTTGGTTGTTATTCTAGACATGTAACGTGAATATTTTATTAGAATCCGAATTTTGAAGGTCCTGTGCTTCAAAGGATTAACAAATGTGACACTAAAGAAGCTCACTGGCGAGAAACACAGAACCATGTGCAAGTTATTTCTCGCTCGCGATATGAAATAAGCGTAAAGATTGTCCTGAGTCGGAGGACGTCGAGGATCGTCCTTTTTCATTAGCGGTGTGACGATCGTCAGAATGTCGTCCAACTCGTCCTTCGGGAAGAGATTGGCAATTTCGCCGACGCTCAACACGTTGTTAATATATTCCAAAAACGCCTCGTCCTTTATCTCGTTGTCGGTGAAAATAAAAGTGAGACCTTTACTCCCCGTGCCGGCCATGCGATACAATTTCCGTAAATCGTCCATCAAGCTGGCTACGTTATAAATCCTAAAAAACTAATTTACATCAGTAGATTATCTATATATATATATATATATATATATATATATATATATATATATATATATATTGTTTCTCAAACATTTTTTAATCAGCCTCATTCCAGGCGAAATCCAGGGCTGATTACGCCGCGTTGACGGAAAATCTAGTTTCTCGGTGAAATTTTAATGCTCACCTAGATAACGTTATCTGGAAAAAGTTAAAGCCCGCGATAAAGGATGCCAGTCGCGTGAGGCTCTGCTTGCCAGATCCTCCCACTCCCACGAGCATCGCATTGCCTCTGGGAACTCCGAGTATTCTCGATATTCGTATCAAGTGCACCAGAGCGTCGTGGAAAAAGACCAGATCGAGACGCATGCCGCGTATATATTCATTAAACTGCTCCATATTTTGCTGGACTTTGGCGATAACGATCTCGTAACTACGAGCGGTGTAAAAACGTTGACGTTTAGGCACTCGCACCGTTTATCTCTTTTTAAAGACGTCAGAAGCAAGGAAACGCATGCTAAAAATTCTTGCGGAATATATTAATATAAAAAAAACATATATCCATAAAACGACACTTGCAATTGATCGAACAAATTTATAAAATAGTCTAAACCCTCCATTTTCTCTGTAACAATCAATAATTTGCCGTTGATTATCGTGTATAATATGCAATATTTCTTTTTAATCCATCTCTTTGCGTGATTCCATCTCATTTATTTACGATAAATTATTATGGCATTATTATTTAAAAAGGAAGGACTATTTTACAAATTTGCTCGATCGATATATATTATAAGTGTCGCTTTATATTTTTTTATTTCATTGTATTTCGCGAAAGTTTTAGCATGTGTTTCCTCGCTTCTAACGTCACTAAAAAGAAATGGACGATGTGAGTAACCAAAAACTTTAATGTGGCTTCGAAATGCGCGTTGTTTCGAATCAGCAAAGCTCAACGTAAAATCGAGCTCTACAATGTCTCGGTATACCTTGGTATCTCTTCGTAAATCTTAGGTGTCTCGAATACGAAATCTTCCGGCTCGTCACCTGTCGGCTCCGGCGGTTCGCGCAGAAAGTTGACGAAGTACGTCTCGACCGGAGAATAATGTTCAAAGTCTGGGCCCAGCATCTTCTCCGCGGAGCGCCTTAGCGAATTTTGAAACCACTCTCTTTCGCTGGCGGTGATGAAGCTACGAGAAAGTACCAGCGAAGTTATTTATTATCGCCGCGTGATTATCCCGTCGCGAGGGTGTTCCGTGGATGGTTACAAAATCGATCAAACCGATCCGCTATGACACGCGTGCACTCGTGCTCCCACAATTTCAGCAGGCTCGTTATAGACTCGCACTCGGCCCTCTCTATCCTCAATATTCCCTCCCAAATACGCGATAGATCGCGCAAGTTGAAAACGTAGTGAAACTTTGCCGGGGTCGGTAACATCTTCACTTTGGTTTGCTGCCACAGTAATCGAGTCAGCGGTATGAGCTTCGGTAAGAATTCGACGATGCTCTCGGAGAATCTCGCGTCGCAAAAGTAGCCTTGGCCGATCGCACCTGCGGTTGTTATGGACTCGCGTTGAGCCAATCGCGTTACGCTTATTACGTGTCGTGCTGGACGGATAACCATTGTCAACCTACTGAAAATCGTGTCCATCGATTTATTGGACGGTAGAGTGCAATTAAAGATATTGAACTGCCGTTTCAATCGCGCCGGAATGTCGTTGCGCCCTCCACCCGGGTGAATCATCGCCGCGAGGAACATGATGTCTTGCATGGTGCTGAAATCCCCCGGCTTGTCCAACGAGTAAAATCCGCCGTATTCCATCAGCTGACGCACGACTTCGTTCGTAATCTGATCGCCCCACTCGTTTATGGCTGGCATATTTATGTCGTCGATGAAAATGGTCATCCTCCGACCACCAGGAGGTCCGTAAGTGGTGCCTACTCGCTTTTCCACATAGCTCTCGAACACGCGCTAAAAGCAGATCATTTAGCGACGATTTGTACGACCAGTTCGTAACGATCTCACGTTCGGAATTAATACCTGAACCATATTAGGTGTGGACGCTGAAGAGAAGTTGAACGACTTGTTTAAGTGGTATTCGGGGTCGTATCTAGACATGTAGCTTTTTATCATTACGGTTTTTGCGGTACCCTGTTCTCCTATATATTGTGTAATTAATAAATTAGGATATTTCTAATATTTAGAATAAATATTTAGAATGTTTAGAAATTAGAATATTTCTAATGAAATATATTAATATAATAAATTAGAAATTTCGAAATATCAATCGCAAAGTGTGCGGCCAAGTTCGGCCTACTTTATTCAGAAAAAATTTTTTAATCCAAATTGGTCTATTTTATAATTCTTAATGCACTGATCACAAATATGCAAAATAAACCGACGTATTGTTTTAGAGAAAATAATCTATTTAAAATTGCACCCTACTAGATGGCGCTTTTTATTTTCATACAGTGAAAATATTAAGTAGCAATGAAATTTATTTCTTGATAACTCGTGTTTGACCTTACTAATGGTTTCCAAGTGTAATCAACGAGCCAAACAATTTTATTTAGTCGTGCTAACAGTCTGAGAATTCACCAGAATTCATTAGACGCTTTTAAGATCTAATTTAGTCATCCTTTTCTCAAGGACAATATCTGGAACTGTTGCTGCGGCTCGCTAAAGATGATTTTGTTATTGCAAATTGCCATAATTTCACATTTTATTTGTGAAAATAAGTTACGTCATCTAACTTAAGTAGATAATTTTAAATGGACTATTTCCTCTGGAGCGGTATATCTGTCCACCTTGGGGATTTGCATATTCGTAATTAGTGCATCAAAAACTATAAAATAAGACCAACTTGGATTCAAAGTTTTTTTTTGTGTAAAGTAAGCCACTAGCCTATAGACACTTGGTCGCACTCTTTCCAATTAATATATACTTATATTAATTATATTAATATAAATATTAGTATATTTGACGCTAGAAAAATCAATGAATAGAAGTAAATATTTACTTACCTATCAAAAGTGCCGCTTTTCCTTGTTTCGCTATAATATCTAATAAAAATAAGGTCCTCGTGTTATCGACATTAGGAACGAGGATAGTATGGTACTCCAAGACACGATCCGAGGGGTATTTGAATTCCGGCACCATTTCGTTCCAATGTATCCACCTCCCGTCGTCGGATACGAGATACTCGAAAATCGTTTCATCTTCCTACGAGCCGAACATTTTACAGGAGAAAATTACAAGCAGTGCATCATATTGATCGATCGGACACAATGTGCTGAAAAATGATTGTACAAACCGTGCACTTGGGCCAGTTACAATTTGATTCATGATTTATAAGGAATTCTTGCAACGCAAATCGCGCGTCGAGCTCCAATACCGCGCCCAAACTCCACATGAGCGAAAATAGGAAAAGCTTCTCGACATGATGCTCGGGCAATATTTCTGGAAATTACAGCTTTGATCAAAACTACGGACGAGTGTATTACAGTGTAAACAAACATTCCAGCACAGGAGAAAATTATATATTTACTGATGGGATCGGAATTCCCGACATTTAGACCTTCCAATAGATCGATGCATTGCCGTATATAGAGCGCTTCTAAAAGCGTCATTTTCGTCTGGAGCTTTGTTTGAACAAACGTGTGCGTATCCCCGTATATTTTGTGGAATAATGTCCGTAATATATCAGCCTCGTTGGGGGAGCATTTTTTTAGCCAACCCTGCGTTAAAAGTAGTGTCGCGACGCGAAAACAGGTTTCCGCGAATGAATATCGCTATGACGACGCACACACACACACACATACACATATACAAAGGGATGAGATTGACCCAGATCGTCGTGTTACCTCTAAAATTGAACTCCATTTTAACACGGAAGCACTGACAAAGACCATCCCCATGCGCGATATCGTCGCCGGTGACGCATTGTCCACATTGTCAGGCTCAAACACCAGCTTGGTATTCGGCGCCATTATTATGCGATCTCCGTTCGCTAGCGTTAACGTTTTATTGTCGTCCAGAACCGAATTCAGATTCTCGATCCATACCGCATCGACCGGGCCGTCCAACACTATCCATAGATTTTCCGTCTTCTTCGTTTGCGTTGATCTACGCCATATAATGGAGAATATACCGTCGGCCCAATCGTTCGTTGCCACATCGAGTCTTCCAAACATTTGGGACGCGGTTATCGCCTAGTAGCATTTTCATTAGGTTAGAGAGAAATTGTCTCTATGTCGATATAGGAGAACTCGGGGCATAATAGGAACTCTATCTTTAAACATATTAAAAAATTCGAACATATTAAAAATAAATAAACTTGGATTTATACCAAAATCCTCTTTGAATTATTCATGAGAAAAATCCAAGTTTTACTGTAAAAAAAAATAGTTTAAAAAGACGAAATTATTATTTTGTTAAAAGAGTGAATTAATTATTAATCTCATTATGCTTAATCTCATTAACCTCATTACGCGAAGCAAAATATTTCAAAAAATTTGCCTATTTTCTTCCTCTAATCATTGATTTTAAAAAGTTTTTAAAAGTATCTTATTAAAACATAAAATATATAAAAATGTATTATTGCACGTTTGATTACTTACATGTTATTTATTAATAACATTTATTTATTAATAACATTTTTCTTATAAAACGATTAAACTATACTCTTTTTTTATTAAAATATTAATAATAATCATTATTTAATAATCTTTGGTATTAATTTTCTGAAACATAGCACATGATAGGAAATAATGCGACTTAATATTTTAAAAACGTAATGACATAATCTTATTATACTTCGCAATATGTAAGTTTGGATTATGTGATATAAAACATTATAAATAATCATTATTTGCAAGGCTATTTAATTAAAATGACGACAAAAGATTGTTTAATAACGTTAATATAAATACGGTAATAAAAAGAAAAATCTTATTATTCTTTATCTTATGTAAATGTACCAAACAAATTGCAACGCAGTTGGGAAGAACGCAGTAAACGCATTAAACAATTTGTAGCATCTTTCAGCTAAAGATAATATGACAACTGATAGCAAAAAACATCTAACAGTAATAATTACAAAACATCTCTTTACATGGCAGCATCTCCGTAAAAAATCATTAACCATATCCCATTATGCCCCGTGGTCCTGTTATGCTCTAAGTTTTCGTATTTTTTATATCCCTTAGAAAAAAGAATAACTGGCAATTAAATAAATTGGCCAGTGATAAATCATTGGTGCTTAGTATAGTTTTATTATACGTACGATAATAAAACTACTAAGATGCAATAATTAATCGCTGGCCATTTTATCGTCGTTGATATTTTTTTTGTAAGGGAAGTGAGCAATCGTCATCAATGTATGTACTAACACATATTTGTACTAACTTTTGGATTTAGTCTAATTTCCTTGTGCGGCAAACCCATCTCCGTTAGAGCTCTCATTAGCGCCCACATACAGTGCGTCTTACCAGATCCCGTTGGTCCGAGAACCATTAGACCATGCCGAACAAGCGATGTCTCGTACAACTGTGAATTAATAACTTGATATACCTTGACATTTACTCCTCTTTTAATTCAGCTCATAATTCGTTGAATTTTTATAAATATTTCGCAAAATATTCCAGTTCAAATAGATATGCAAAATAAAATATTTTCAATGCTCGTCCTCTCCCAAAAGATTTTTAAACTCGTGGAATTTTTAAAGGCTGAATTCGAGCGTGAAGTAATTTAATGAGATTGAAGAATGTACGCGAGAATGTTTATATCAGGCGCACCTGCACGGTTTTTAAGTTCCATTCTCTATGATTCATTATGCCGAGGGCATCCGTAGCGTTAGCTATTCCTTTCTGTAATTCCTTGTACGTCTGAGTCGTCAACTTTATTCCCGGGAACATGTCTTCAATAAGCGACATAAATAGCGGTTCATCCTCGTCCACTAATTTGGACAAGTTCATATCTCTGAAAGATTAATAGACGCATTGAGTATCTTTATTTAATATAAGATATGTGAGAGACGATATCAATAGCGTAATTCTTACCGTAACACTCTCATGAGAGTCGTTTCCTCGGAATCGGTAGGATGCGCGCGTTTTTGAGCGCCGAGTGTTCGCAGACACGACAAAATGTTTCTCAATCCGAAATCGTAATGAACCTGTTTGCTAAGCTGCTCCTCACATAATTTATACAATGTGAAAAACTTCCGCGATAATATCACGTTCTCTTTGAAGCCGCATGCCGCGAGTTTTACTCGCATTATGATCTAGATAGACGGAACGAAATTCGTACAACACGACTAATGTGTTTTAAATTTTTATGCAGGAAAAGTTACAAATTCAATATATCACCAAAAGCACTTGAGACTTAGGTATTTTGATGTACAAAACAGAATAATATTTCAACGTACTTGTCTGTCGGGAACCATCATGGCAACACTCCTGAATTGTATTTTCAAATTTTCGGGTAATTCTTGCCGGCCGGCGTATCCGGGATTCATCGTAATAAATATTCCAAATTCATAGTTGAGCTTATATGTTTCGCCGTCACTACGAATAATGTGTTAGTGTAATTAAAAGTAGCTTTTACAAAATAGATCCTAATCAATAAATAAAACAATAAATATGTTTATAAGATAGTCAGCATTATATTTGTCTACAAATAAGTATTTATTTTCAGTATTTTAGACATTTATTTTATGAGAAAAAAAAGAAATCTCTCTCTTTCTCTAAAAACTAGAAACTATTATAAGCTTATTAAAATATGTTTTCCGCCTATTCATTACTCTTACAGATAGCAACTTGAGTTTATATTTAAATCATATTAGTTAAAAGTGTTTAATGTTCTTGCAATTCAAATTGTGTCCCTACTATTCTTTTAAAATTGTTTTTCTATTACGTTTTATTAAATATGTTCCATGCATTTCTTTTTTATGTATATTTTGTATTTCTCTTTTGCATTTTGAATGCATTTTTCTTTATAATTAAATATAAATATTATATATAAATATTTTCTATGAAATAATTATTTATTATAATAGTAATATTATGAAATAATTATTTATTATAATAGTAATATTTGTTTCTTTTCAGAAAATAATTGCTTCTTTTCACGAAATAACTACTTTTATCGTAAAATCTTATCTCTCTCTTTTGATATGTCTACCATTTTACTAAATGTTTAATAACTCTAGAAAGTATAAACCCCAGGATATTTAGTAAATTCTACTCTACTCTACTTTCTCTCTCTCTCTCTCTCTCTCTCTCTCTCTCTCTCTCTCTCTCTCTCTCTCTCTC